CTCAATTAGGGTGATTGCAGCAAGTCATCTTTGGCAGGTGCTGACCGCAAAATTATTCTTCTTTAGCTCTTTATACTAATGTGCTCATAGTTCTTTACTTATGCAGCTTGTTGTTGTACGTGCTGACTTGAATGGCCATTTGAGGGCTCTTAAAGATTATTTTCTTTTAGCAAAAGGTGATTTCTTCCAGGTAAAGCATGGATTTTTGTTACTTTCATACATGTTAACTTCAAATCTTGCAAAGACCAACTTAAGTTGGTCTTTTCTTTAAAAGGTTCTTGTGCTCAAAATGTCTTGCTTATCCCATTACTTCACAATAGAGGAGTAATATTATTGGGGATCTTCTGTCGATTGCTACGTATAAATGCAATTTGCAAAGCGCCACTAATACTTTGGAAAGACAGTCTTAGCCTTTTCATTTCTGTTTAGGATTTGCTTTTCTAAAGTTTTGAGGGAGGAACACTTGTGTGTCACTCTAGGTTTGTGCTTGTTTGGAGAACACATAAGAGTGATTAGGACAATCTGAGCATCTCCTAATAGTCTTGTGGATGCAGGCCAAGAAGAAAGTATTGGAAATTCTCCTCTTAAAAGTGTTTTGCCATTTCTTAGTGTGAAGAAAGTATTGTTGAATGCTGTTTCTTTGACATTGCTAGAGTTTTCTCGAGGAGAGTCGCCAGCTGATGCATTTGCCACCTCGCCTGTCCACTGCAGAAGCTGATCTTATGATTCCATTTCAGCTAGTAAGTCCATCAAATTTTTATGAACATCAATCTTCTTCATTCCTACTTGCTTGTTGTCTTACCTGTGTCCATAATGCCACATTATTTCAGCACATGATGGAGTTTTTCTTGTGTCTATTTATATCTCATGCCAGATCTAGATTTTCCTGAGGTAATTTTGGATTTGCTGTCCTTTTGGGGAAAAATAAATTAGATAATGTTGAAATGAGAATACTATTGGAATGGTAACAAGAAGCATAAGTCAATAGGATGGAGACAATTTAAACACCTGTTTGTCCATTTGAGAAGAACCTTCTGCCACCAGGTGTCATAGAGTATTAGGGAATTAGTATAGCCCATCCATCACCAGCAGTGATCTGCATTTCATTTATGTAGGTGTAACCATTTGGATTTGTGGTGATTTTATGGCGTACAAATACTTCATTAACTCATGAATGTATCCTTTGTTCCTGTAATGAGTGTTAATTTCAAGTACAGAGCTTTTTTGAGTGCCTTATTATTGACAACATGCTCGCAACTCAGGCTGCAGTGAAAACTATTGGAGATGACGACAGATATTTTTCAAGGGTGTCTTTAAGGTCAGAACCCATTTTGATTTGTCTGATGTATGATTGGTAACAAATGACTGAGAAAAGATTTTTAAAAAAATTCTTATTTTAGTATTCATGCAATTTCTAGGATGCCTTCATTTGGGATCCCAGTTAAATCCTCCCAAGTAGATCTGCCAAAGACAAAAGCTTATGTTGATGGAGATTCAATTGTGCAATCAGAGACTTCCCTGGAGGTGCCACTTGATGGCTGGGATGGCATTGCTCTTGAATACTCTGTTGACTGGCCCTTGCAATTGTTTTTCACGCAGGAGGTGCTTTCTAAGTAAGATACTTGATCCTGTAGAGTGATATTCTTTGCTTCTAATTTGTGAATTGAAAGGTAGCTTAAAAGCATTTCTTATTTGGTATATCTACTTTTCCTAATAGTTTGTCCTCTTCCCAAGTCGTAAGCCATTGGTCCCTGCTGCAGTTTTACTTTTATCTATTGCACTTATTATGTTTGCATTGATCTCACAAAAATGATTTGTGAGGGGTACTTCATGGAAGTAGAGAAAAGCGGCTTGCATTGTATCATTTGAGTTCACTAAATGTGTGGAAATTACAACTTGAATTTGTTTCGGAAATTACAGTGTCTCATCAGTAGTTACAAGTGTAACACAAGTGACAGGGTTGTAGATACATCTAAGAAGTTTGCTATAGGTATCGCAGAATCTTCCAATATTTGCTTCGACTGAAGAGAACACAGATGGAGTTGGAGAAATCATGGGCCTCTGCTATGTCTCAAGATCATTCTGATTTTGCAAAACATCGCAATGATAGCAGAAGCTGCTTGACATCGCATCAGCGAAGGCAGCACTTTAGACCAATGTGGCGTATTAGAGAACATATGGCATTTCTGATCAGAAATCTTCAATTTTACATCCAGGTTGTTATTACAGAAATTTGCTATATTTGTTCACAATGATTCCTGTTTCTTTCCTAAATAACTCGCCTGTTTCTTCAAGAAGTTTTACTGCCATAGATATTTGCTCACATAAATTAGTTTGTTTTCATTTAGAAGACTGGGAATCTAGGGCTTAAGTAAATTGAATTGGATGGTTATTGTTAGTTGCATTTTCTTCTGGAAGCTTTTGGTACACCTCTTTTGAAGGGTGACTTCATTTTGGAAGAGGAATGGTATTCATTAAAGCTGTAAAAGACAGTGTTAGGACATAGCTAGCACCTTTTGGATAAGTTCTTTTCAATGGTTTGACCCTGTAAATTTTCATACAGATGAAAAATTATGAATAGCCAAACCAATTTGGATATGTCCTTTTGAGCTGTTACACCCATATTTGTTTTAACTGTGTATGCAGAACATGTTGATTGTAAATGAGTAGAAGCTGTTAAGCTTGTGCAGAAGGGTGGAATTGGTTGCAAATGCAATAATCAATATGTGTATTTTGGCTAGTAAATAAAGCTGATCAAAGTATGTGTATTTTGGCTAGCACAATTTTATAAACTGGGGCTTCTTGCTAGAAATTGTTGGAGTAGTTTCTCCTGCATATTTAATGATCATTGGTGTAGTATGATCCTTTTTTCCTGCCTTCTTCCTTACCCCTTTTGATTCCCTAGGTGGATGTAATAGAATCTCAGTGGAATGTTTTGCAATCTCACATCCAGAACTCTCATGATTTCACAGAACTTGTCCGCTTCCACCAAGAGTGAGTAATTGATGTTTCTCATATTAAATTACTTCTTAGTTTTGATTTGTTATTTATGCCTGATATTCTTTACGTAGATGTTATGTTAAATTGGTTACTGGTTACTGCTAGCTTCTTGTCATTAGAGATTGACTAGCAAAGAAAATAAAGTGCTATCTGCAGATTATAAAGAAATTGTCTTGAGATGTGAAAGTGACTTGCTAGATGTCGATAGGAGGGACCAGTCAAGGGAAGATTTCTTTCTCAAAAAATTAGCACACAAATATAATATGACTGTGTCCTTGGTGCAGTTCTGTTCCTCTATAAGATTAATGCACCTACTACCGATGTTTCCAATTTCTTATTGAGCTCCAGGACTCGTGCTAATGTCAGACCACATTGAAAGTATTGCTCTTTCTGGCTGGTTCAACCTAGTCAAGAATGCTCTATTTTGTTGCAAATACCAAATGGAGCTAGATAACCTAGACCAGTGCTATTCATAGTAAAGGAACATGAGAACTTTTTGATTTGTATTACCTGAGAGATATAACAACCATGAAAATGATCTTTTCATGGATCCATTATGACTCTTGAACCATTTTCTGTTACCTCATTTATTTTACTTAGAGATGTTCAGATCTTGTTCTTCATGCACTCATTAGATTTTGGGCTGTTTAAACTTGTGGTTTCTGTCCAAGGTCCTGTAGACTTTGCATTTTTTGAATTTTTTTGCATGTTTAATAACTTGGTGGATGTATAATGAATTTAGTATTGCAAGCAGGTACTTATCTGCGTTAATATCTCAGTCTTTCTTGGACATTGGTTCTGTGTCGAGAATCCTGGATGGGATAATGAAACTTTGCTTGCAATTCTGCTGGAAGATTGAAAACCAAGAGAGTGATGAGATTACAGTTGAACTGGAGCAAATATCAGAGGTAAACCTTGTGCTCTTTCCCTTCTCTTGGGGTAAATATGAAGTATTGTAAGATAGGTGTTTCGATCTATCATTTTGATTGTTATCTTGAGAAATTTATTTCAGCTGGCCTAAGGCCAGGAGTTGTGATGTAAAACTGAAGCTTATTTTATTAATTTTACCTGGTATTTCTGTCACTTGGATGTTTTGCATAATTTTAAGCCAGAAATAGTGCTAGTCTTGCATTTTGGCCCTCCTGCATCATTTCAAGGTATTCCAAAGACTGACTAGACAGTCACTTGTTTGCAATGTCATTAGCATGTTATTAGGGATTCCAGTACTCTCAACTTCTGATGATTGTGACGGCTAGAATTTGCTTCTGTTATACTGCTCATCAGTTCTTCCATTGAAAATAATTGTTTTGATTGTCTTCAGGAATTCAATAAGAAATCAAACTCCTTGTACACTATATTGCGTAGTACCAGACTGGCTGGGAGTCAGCGAGCCCCTTTTCTTAGGCGTTTTCTTTTGCGTCTGAACTTCAATTCATTTTTTGAGGTAATATTTGCAGCATTTTCTTAACTTATAGTTTATGCATGATGATTAAACTATGCTTTATGTCACGTAATTGCTGACAGGCAACTGCTAGAGGAGTGCTTAATGTTGTGAGACCACGTCCAACACTCGCAGTTTTACATTGATGCCAGCGGCTTAATTGTCTCAGTCATCCAATATGGTGTTCCCCTGGTGGTGTTTAGACTGAGTTTTAACAGTAAACTGATTCTTGCTCGTTTGGCTACTTGTTATGGGCCTCTGGGTTTTTGCAACAGTTGTTTTTCACCAGACAGCAATCCTGACTTGGGTGCTCCTTTCCCAGTTTCGTGACGTTGGTTCTCCTTCGTCACACTTTATGCTGCATTTGATAACATTTGGTTAATCTTAAACCATTTACAGCTGCGTTTAGAGCAGGGTGTAATGAACTGTGCCTTAAAGAGGGGAAGTTGTTGATTTGGTTGCCTGAAGCTGCTTGTAATCCTAGTATAGCTACCACGTAGTGGTTTAGGTGAGTTGTACATTATTGTTGTTTAGGGTGTTAAATAAATGAATTTTTAGATTCTATATGAATCTTGCAAATGAGGAATATATTATGCTTATCTGATGTTTAATAGATTTTATGTACATTTTCTCAAGTCCCATACTCCCATCTTCTTATTTTGTTTCTAATCAGCAACGGAAGCTTCCGTATCTTCTTGAAGGAATGCGACCTGAAGCTGACTTTTATAGCTCCTCGAAACCTTCCTCATCCGCTTCTTCCTCTATCCTCTGGAATTCTCTACTCCAAGTTTCCATCTGTTCCAATTACGGTAACAGTTAACTGGGAATACATAAATGAAACAACATTAAGCTCGTCTTTTCTGAGGTCCCCCAATGTATTCATCAATCAACATACGTGTGTGAGAGAGAGAGAGAGAGAGACAGAGATTGTTATAACCAAATATCATAATCCTGGAGATCAAAATCAGGATATTGGCATATCGACAAGTCATAAACATTTTCACAGTTTGAGATCAGGAGACTGAAAAGATGAGCGGAAGCAACAATTTTGCAGAAACTATCAGCATAACAGAGATAAAGAGGAAATTTTACCTGTTCATCAGAAAATCGCAGTTGCTCAGCAGTGAAGAGTATATGGTTGTCATCTCCTTTTTCCAATTCTTTTTCAAAATCTCTGGCAACGTTCTCATATCCAATTATGTTTACCCGGAGACCATTGCTCATGAAAAGATTATCCATCCACTGTGTTTTGGTGGACTGATAAGAGATGGGTTCTTCAGAGCCAAAGGAGACGGAGATCAAATAATACCAGTTTAAGTGTTCAGATTAACAAACCTTGATACCAGCATCAACTGCTGATAACCAAGAAGGTAGTTCTCCGAGTAAAACACTCCCCTTTGTGGCTAAATTGCTGATAACAGAAAGGATCTCTTTAAATCTAGCCAAATTTACAAGAGGCAGTCCCTGCAATTTAAAACAACATATACAATCATATTTACACTTCCGAAAGAAAAAACCTTGACACGACCAACCTCGATAGAACAATTTAAGCCAAATTTCCTAATCGTGCTAACCTTCCTCGTTATTTAGCTTCAAGAAATCACAAGGAAATTTACAGGAATTACCAAGTTGAACACAAAAACTAAGACAGATTTCCTAATGGTTCTAACCTCCCTCATTATTTAGCTTCAAGAAATCAAAAGGCAGAATAAATTTTTAGGCAAGAATAAAAACTTTTCAGTTTCTCCAAAAGAATCTTTCGACGTCAGGAACATGATAATGACCATGCACAATAAACAGTGGTAGTATTGGCACTCACGGAAATATTACGAGGTAGGAAAGAACGGCAGCTAAATTTCGGAAATAACCACATAAACGACGGGAAACAAGGTTGCTATGTTAGCTCAGAGTTCAAGGAGATGAGCGCAGGTTAAAAATATCAAATCACCTGGAAAACCCATATACTTGGCCTGGCACCTTTAAATCCTCTGTTACGCATCATCTCTTCTATGTTAGCCGACTCGCATGGTATATGGATAAACATACAGCTTCTTCCAATCCTGGCCCCAACCTCTTTGGGGATTCTCAAGAGAATTTTGTCAGTACGCGTATCTAACTCTTTACAAGAAGGAGGCGTAGAGAAAGAATCTGGAGAAGCGAAACTGACAAGGGCGTGCATTCGCACCTTTAAGCTTCAGCGTTGTTTCCCCGAAAACCCTTTGCGGGGATATGTCAAATACGAGGGTGGATCTGGGCCAGTTGAGTCTATAAGGCCGAGTATCCATGCCATCGGTGAACAAAACAACCTGCAGGACTTCAGTAGATAGCCAATTGACGGATGTTAAGATCTAGAGCATAAGTTGAATACCATTGTGCTTGTTACTCTACCTGTCTGAGGTCGTCATCATCACCCAATGCATTCAGCAGCTTATCATCAATAAATTTGGTCGCCAGGCAGTAGAGAGGCAGCCGGGGTGTCACGTCTACCTCAATAAATTTGTTGGTAGGAACAAGGCAACCAGCATATGGGTCGACAAACAGAGGATCTGCAGATGCAAGCACGGCTCATGCTCTCTTTCAAATAGCCCAAAAAAAAATATATACTAGTGTACATATATATATATCAAATCATATATAGTGCCAAATGACAAGCTACGGATATCAAATCATTGTTGCAACGCCAAGTCGTTGAGATTATGGTCTGATATCGAAGCGATTGTTCCTAGTTCAGTATTCCTTCTAGTAGTAAGCAGCATGGCCAAATTTCCCAATGAGGAGTAAATAGAAACTAGGGATGCAGTTTTTTTTTTTTTTTTCTGTTTCCTTAGCAAAATTGTTAGTTCCAAGATAAAAGTGAAATTTGCCTGGCCGAAGAGTCTCCTGGAAACGAAGAGAAGCGCGTTCAATTGCAGCTTGGTACAAGGAGTCGTTTTGGTGATTGAGCTTGGACCTGGGCGTCAAATTCCTCTTTCTAATGGCGGCGGAGTGAGATAGGGATCCTCTCGTATTCGCAATGGCAGGAGCCGGCGGCGTGGGTGAGACCAAAATTTCCATGGAGAACAAACAAACACAACACGGCGCTTGCTATTGCAGCACTACGCTTATCCCGTCTTCGCCCTTCTACGGTTCTACCTCAGGTCCTCAACGCCCTAATCCATTTTTCAGCTTCCATGTGTAGTGCATAGATTTCTTTCTCGATGCATAAAATTCTTTCCAATTTTAAATATTTTATTTTAACGTAATTAATAAAACCAACTATTCTCAAGTTTAGGATGGCCAGGCCTTTGGGGAACAACAATTATTTAATTAGTACTAATAGGGCTTTTCTATTGGTACAGGACGTGGCCAAGATAAAACAATATATATATATATATATATATATTTTTTTTTGCCTAAGGTACAAAATAAAAGAAAAAAAAATCATATTAATAAAGTATAATAATGTATTGCGATACAATAGTGGGGCTAATTTCTTAGAATATTTGTATTAAAAAAAATAACTGCCAAATGCACCTCTGACGTGGGATGTTTCCCATTCTATAGCTGCCGTGCTGAAAATAATGTATTGCGATACAATAGTGGGGCTAATTTCTTAGAATATTTGTATTAAAAAAAAATAACCGTCAAATGCACCTCTGACGTGAGGTGTTTTCCATTATATAGCTGCCGTGCTGATTCAGCACGATAGCATAATTTAAAATCCCCACAATCTCACTATAGACGTCTGCAAAAATTTCAGTGTTGCAGCAGGTGTCAGACGCAGACGTGCTGACTGCGCACGTCTGCGGCTGACAGAAACAGACTACCATGACCCTGTACGTTCAGACGCAGACATGCTGACTGAGCACGGCTGCTGCCGACACAAAATCAGTGGCAATCTGTTGTGTCAGCCACAGACGTGCCCAATCGTGTCTGCGTCTGACATTTGAAAAAAAAAATAGTTTTTACGAAAATTGGTTTTTAGAGTTAGGGTTTAGAATTTTTGGATTAGGGTTTTTGCGTTAATGTTTGAGAGTTAGGGTTTTAGGTTTTTAGAATTAGGGTTTTTGCGTTAATGTTTTAGAGTTAGGGGTTTAGGTTTTAGGGTTTTTGTTGTGCAATATAATTGGATATAAATTATGAATTACGTGATTTTGTGTGTTTTTTTCAAGGCATACAAAGTTCGTTTTGCAAATTTATAGTAAAAAATGACTAACTTTAGTATTTCAAATTAAGAACAAAAGCCAACACTAATTTTAGATTTTAAATTTAATTACTTTAGTTTTGAGTTGGACTAACTCGTATATTTCATTCGAGCTGACATTCATTGTATTAGAGTTATGTAGGTAATTTTTGTTTGGATCAGACGCCTCATCCGTATTGACTGGGCATGGTTGGAGACCGACATTTGTTACTTTTTTGACCGTGCTGACTTTTTCAAAAAAAAAAAATCAAATTTATTATGCTCAGCACGTCACGTATAAATTGACAAATATCCCATGTCAGATATATATTTGACGGATTGTTTGTTTTTTTTTTTTACATATAATCTAAAAAATTAGCCCAATAGTGGCGTGAATAGAATTCTTTAAACTTTTGGGGTGGCATCCCCTCCACCAATTAATGCAACCACCACCCCACATCTTTCGTGTGTTCCCCACTCCCCAGTAGGGTATTCTGGGAAAAAGACTGAATCGGCTGTGACTATTTGAGGTAGGTGGAGGAGTTTGGTGTGGAGGAGGTCGAAGCCTCGTGTCAATCAATATCAATTACTGTGGAGTATGGACTAATCTGTGAGAAATGCGGAGAATTAGTAGTGCAGCTGCTCCGACTTTGGACATTTTAACCAAAAGTTAGTATAGTGAGTAGTAAATAAATACTACAACGGTGCAACGGACAACAACTGGGGCTTGGATTTTAATTCACCGTCCCAAACCAAACCAAACCAGTTGCATCATCATCCATCCATTCCACACTCCACCAACCAACCTCCCTCCGTCGGCTGCAAAGACGTGGGAAATAGCTTATGCCAAACCCCCCTTCTCCCTGCCCCTAAATAAATAAATCCATTCTAGCTGCGAAATCCTTCTCCAGGGGACGGGAAGAAACCAGGAGGGTCTTGTCAGATTATCTTCCTCGTCTTCTGTCTTCACTCCACCTCCTTTAAGAGTTTATTAGACCTCAGACCCTCCTTTTTGTTTTTCCCCCCTTCCTGTGTTCTCACCCATAGATTATAGATTCTAGATAGAAGAAGAAATCCTAGAAAATGGATTACTCTAGCCAAAAGAACCAAATCCCAGAAAACCCCGGAGAAGACCAACCACACCTGGCCATTGCCCCGTCCTCAATCCCACCTCCTCATTTACCCATAGCCACCATCTCCCTCTCTCTCAACGCCGTCCTCCCCTCCCATTTCCTCAACCCACCTGCCAAAATTTCTTCCCTTCTCACCCCTCATGCCGCCAAAGTTAAAATCCCCTCCCAAATCTCCTCACTCTCCCACCTCTCCCTCTCTTCCGCTCTCTCCCCTCCCACTAAAACCTTCCTCAAGTCCACTATCTCCGCCAACCCCCTCCAAAACCCACTCTCTCTCAACCCCCGCCGCCCTTCTGACCCCTCCGACGCCGCCGCCCTCCGCCGTGCTTCAATCGTTTGGTTCCGCAACGACCTTCGGGTACACGACAATGAGTGCCTCAACTCTGCCAACAACGAGTCCATGTCAGTCTTGCCCGTCTACTGTTTCGACCCGAGGGACTACGGGAAATCCTCTTCTGGGTTCGATAAGACTGGCCCGTTTAGGGCCACTTTCTTGCTTGAATCCGTCGCCGACTTGAGAAAAACTCTGCAGGCTAAGGGGTCTGATCTTGTGGTGAGAATTGGGAAGCCAGAGACTGTACTGGTGGAGCTGGCGCAGGCCGTTGGGGCGGAAGCTGTGTATGCCCACAGGGAGGTATCGCATGACGAGGTGAAGGCGGAGGATAATATCGAGGCGGTGTTGAAAGAGGAAGGAGTGGAGGTTAAGTACTTTTGGGGAAGCACATTGTATCATATTGACGATTTGCCCTTTAAATTGACGGAAATGCCGACTAACTACGGCGGGTTTAAGGAGAAAGTGCAGGGACTGGAGGTTAGGAAGACAATAGAGGCCCTGGATCAGGTGAAAGGATTGCCTGCTAAGGGAGACGTGGAGCCTGGGGAGATTCCGTCCTTGGTTGATTTGGGTCTCAACCCAAGTGCTACATTGGGCCAGGTAACGATTTTGTTAATGCTTGATTTCATATGGATGTAATTGTGCTATTAATGTTTGGGCAAAGTCTTGCAGTGGAAGTGTAACAAGTTTGTTATTATGCAATTGGTCCTAACAGTATCATGCGTTGGCTACTTTGTGTCTGTATGGCTAAGTTCTTAGTTAAGTACGTACCTATTTTCAACCTGATATCAAGAAGATCAAGAGTTTAGACAGTCTGTGCTTCTTTCTTATGGCTATTTGAATGGGGGGTTATTCTTGACTGTGCTTGGGTTTTGGGAATACAGTGGAGCTGCGGAGCAAACTTATTTACTTGGATTCGTGGTGTAAATTGAACCTTTGTGTCTACTAAGCGTCTGCAGAGCAAACTTATTTACGTTGGCTACCTTGTGTCTGTATGGCTTGGTTCTTAAGTAGTACCTACTTTCAACCTGATATAAGAAGATCAAGAGTTTAGACAGTCTATGCTTCTTTCTAATGGCTATTTGAACGGGGGCTTATTCTTGACTGTGCTTGGATTTTGGGAATAGAGGGGGGCTGCAGAGAAAATTTATTTACTTGGATCCATGGTGTAAATCAAACCTCAATAATGATGAACTCCGAACTTGTCTAAAACTGGCTATTGAGCATTTAGTAATACGGAACTGTTTCTGTATTAAAAAAAAAAAGAGAGAAAAATTTGTACGGGTTGGGGATACTGGGGGCAGATGGAGTGCATGTTGTTTTACTCATTTTTTTATTGCAAACTTACCTCCTGGCAGAATGGAAAGCCAGCAGCAAGTGCCTCTCTTGTCGGAGGGGAGACAGAAGCGTTGCAGAGGCTTGGAAGATTTGCAGCTGAATGCCAAGCGCAACCAAACAAGGGAAACAAGGATGGCACTAATGATAGCATATATGGTGCCAACTTTTCTTGTAAAATATCTCCTTGGCTTACCATGGGTTGCCTTTCTCCCCGTTCCATGTTTGATGAGCTGAAAAAATCTGTATCAAGGTGTGGGATTTATCCCTTCTTCATTTCCTGCTCGATTTAAAGCATTTTGATATTGTCTTAAAGTTTAACATTTTGAATGCAATTATTTTCTGCAGAACAATTTCTTCTGCATCTGCTCAGAAAAATGGTGGAAACAGCCCTTCTGACACTGGGATGAACTGGTTGATGTATGAGTTATTGTGGAGAGATTTCTTCAGGTAACTAAACCAATCTCCAAGCTTTGTATGCATTATTTGAAGTTCTCTGATGTGATATATTGGTAAACTTGTATGCTTGGTTGCTTCACTTTGATTGTGACTTCGATTGCGGATTTGTTGATTGTGCAATATTTATTGCCCTGCGCCAGATTTATCACCAAAAAATACAGTTCCGCAAGACAGCACAATGCTGCTCCAGTGACAGCTTGTACAGGTGCTGCTGTCTGAAGCTGAACCATATTGAAGATTCATTAGACATATACTACCATGGGAAGGTTATGTTTGTGGCTATATGATTTCTTCGGCTGATTCTATTTCTACAGAGCATTTGGCTTTGGTGCTGCACTTTGTCCTCCTGTTGTCATCTTCACAAAGTATAAAGGTTTTCATTTTGGAAATTCGTGAGTTCATTCTCCCGCTTGTGAAACAAGTACTTGCGGTCCAGTTCTTCCTGTGTAATCTTTTCATGTTTATTAGAAAATGGGGTGGACAGGAAATACACCTTTCATTTCTCCCTAACTACTTGCCTCACTTGGAGCTTTCTGGTTCTCAAGGCTTTCGTGCATACTAGGAGGCATGAACGCGCTTCGCGCGATAGAAATATAAAATGCCCTGCCCAGTTTTGAACTAATCAAAATAATAATTTATGTAGAAAAGTATATTTTTAAGTATAAGTATTCTACAAGTCCGAAGTTTTGTTGATATTTCTTGGATGTTTCTCACAAAGCCTTTGGTGAATGGCAATTGGCAATTTACATTTTTTAGAAAACCATTTCTGATGAAACAATGGAGCCAACGTAGTATATAATACAGAGTAAGGAAAGAAAGAGTAC